TACAAGTAAAATACAAGTATTATTTTAGAATGTAATGCTTATGAAATCATTTTATTAGATTACTTTTGCTATTATTAAATACATTTGTTGCGACTTTTTCGTGATGTGCTACGCTTATTAAAAAGGTCCAATAATAAATACGTCTTCCCTGAGTCGTCGTTGCCAGACTTGAACTATATGCAAAGTCAATTATAACGTTTCTCTTGAGGCGAAATTACACAAGCTCCAAGTCGTAAGGCGTCAAATTCCACTTATTATATATTCAAGTCAATTGCATCAAAAAGCACTTTGTTTGAGAGATGGGCCGGTATCGTGTGCTAACCTGGATCACAACTTCCTTAAGTTCTATGCGTCTTACTAGAAGGGATTTACAATGGTAGGTACATTTATCTTTCTTGTCTTTTACAGCGAAGCTCATTATACTTAGGCCGTGCAGAGTGTCATTGGTGAATATGATTTTCTGGACTTCGCCGATTTTGTTGAGAGCTACTTCATACTCTACCGAATCTCCAAATCCCAGTCTTCCTGGCTTCAGACGGAAATGGCGAGATGGGATGAAGACTCCGAGATGCAGAAGGCAAAACTTAAGGATATGAGAACTAGACAATGGCGAGGAGAGGAGAGGTAGAGAATCCCACAAACTCAGGCATGCTGAAGGATGTGGCTAGGAAGGTTGGGGTGGAAGAGGCAACAATGAACTGGGTCGAGACGAAGCGAACCAGGAAGAGGTGGACATTAGAACATCAAGGGCGCACGAGATATGTTTATTACTTAGAAGACAGAATCAAGAGAGATTCTCCCCCGAAAGATGGGAACCCGTTGAGCACAGTTTGCGTCTACATTTTTTATCACAACACGGAGTTTCAGCTACATTACTGTATACCACCTGTGCCGGAATGGGAAACAGAGTCACATCAATATATTGGATACTACGAGAATACTGATGCATGCTTATTAGAATACACCACCGACAAAGAGGTGGTCTTGTCTGAGAAAACAGATGACAAAATGGTGTATGACATTTACTATCCAGGTGAAAATATTGCCGTCGTCGAGGGTGCAAGGATATGAGCAGTGGACCAATGATGTGCGGCTTGGTTTCTCCTCTTGACCAACTACTAGTAGATCGTTTCGGCGTGAAAGCGGATCACCCAACACTGAACTTGGAAAGCCCACCTATAAAGTGCCGAAGAAACACGCCCGCCGCTTGATAGGGTTGTAAATCCGAAGTCATGCACAGAAAAACTACCCATGTAAAATTTTCTGTCACTTATTACATAGCATTAGATTATGGATAAATATACACTGTCCAAGCTGTTAGAAGGTGGGTAGCACAGCAGGAAAGATGGTGATGCTACTGTGGACAATGTGCTTGCCAGTGCTTGTAACTTCCATTTATGGCGACAGAGGTTATCGTTCATGCGTTTCTTTGATACATGCATGTCAGCGATTCAATCGTCATAATTCTACATTATCTTCCAAAAATATAAACAAACAAGACAAACTTGAGCGGAATTAGATATGCAAGGAACAAAATTACACTGTGCAGTTATCCGCACTCATCACAAAGAAACAAGCAAGGGATGTCACATATTCGGAATTGTGTCGGTTTACCTCCTTCGTATTGGAATGAATCAAAGGGTCGTGTCAGAGATCATGGTGTCCCATTCCCGTCTGCTAATCGTTTCTTCGCCACCTTCGACAATACGAACGATGTCGTTAGAGACTTTTCCCTTTCCTTAATTTCCTTGCAATATCTGCGGACCGGGCGTGCTTGCATCCTCGATGTCATTATGTCCTAGTGAGCCCAAGCCGACGCCCTTGTGGTATTGAGAATGTGAACTCGTATCTCTCGACCAATCCGAGACAGATGGCATGCAGCAACATGGCTGAAACTCTGGATGACGATCGAAAATATAGAGGTGTATATCGCTCAACGGGTACCCATCCTTGGGAGGTGGATCGCCTCTCTTAACCCGATCTTCCACGACTCGTATCTCGTGCTTACTTGAAGATCCGATGCCGCCCCTTTCTTCCATATGATCTGCGTCGCCTGTATCCTGTCTGCGCTGACCTTGACCTCCACCGTCGGAACGCTTGCGTTTGCGAGTGGTATCGAATCCCGGTCGCCAGTGCTTCTTGGCCGATGCCTCGAATTTAGACTGTTGCCTCCTTGTGTCTTCATCCCATCTCCTCATTTCGGCCTCAATCCATAACTTTTGGAAATCCGCAATTCTAGAGAGCATGAAGTAGACTTCGATGAAACGATCAAAACTTCGAAGATTATACGGCCTGAGGACGGGGCGCACAACCTGACCAGAATCAGACTCGATACGAAGAAGGATACAACCCACTTACCACAGTATCCCCCTCCCAGTTAGCAACATAAAACGTAAGCACATTATGGTCCAAGGTGGTGCCAAATACCGGCCCATCTGTTAAGCACAGTGCTCTACGATGCAGCTGACTAGTGTACAAGGTAAGCTGAACCCGTCGTTTCGCAACCTCAGTTGCACGTAGCTTTGCCTCATGGGTGGAGGTAACGAACATCTTCGTTTTGTATGCTGAATCTGGGATCCATGTCCCGGAGAACACGAAGTTATTAGGGCAATCCGAAAGGAACAAATTCCATCTCTCCGGCAGAGTATAAGTCGTTATGGCGTCCGCTCGAACTGTGTCTGGGACGTCGGGTAGGACTAGTTCCATTTCGGACCTAGGAATTGGAGAAAGTCAACAATGCAAGAAAAAAGTTCAATGTATAGAAATACCTCCACGCCTGATTCGCTCCAGGCCGAAGTTGAAACGCATGAATAATCAACCCATCGACAGCCCAGCGAATTGAAGCCTCGTTCCCCTCCTCGTCCGCCTGAAAAGAAAAAGCCCTCCAATAACCGACAAGTGAGTTCACCACGTCTGCAAACCCGTATTTGTCACGACCAATGAACCGAGGGCCCCAACGATCAATCTTTTCGTGCCATTCTTTAAATATTTTGATAGCCTCTCCCGCCTTCGGGTCGCCTGACAGAAGCCTCTTAATTGTTCGCCTCATCTGAGGAACAACCAGGTTAAAAAGTAGGGTATAGCATGTAATAGATGACCCACGTTGTCGCTCTTAATACAAAGAGGATATTGGAACGAGGCAATGAATTTGTCGAATTCGTCATTCTCCCATATCCCCGGAGAAAATTCTAGTTTATGGCGCATTGCCCGAGCGTCCCATTGTTCACTCGATGCACACAATCTGGATACAGTAATCAGACCTCTGAAAAGGCAAACGGGAATAAGCTTATTTTGAGGCGGGAAGGGAGGAGATATGACTCGATGCTCGGGAATCCATTGGTAATAGGTAATTTGACAAAGCAGAAAGCATATCGATCGTACCCTGTGCTCATAGACTCTTCATTCGGCGGCCCTTGTGCTTGCTGGCTGTCCCGAGAGGAGCCTGTCGCTCTTGCAAGAGTATCACCAGCCGTATTCATGGGTTCCTCTCTGTGGGTCTATTAGCAACAGGAAACGGAATATAACAAGTATAAGATACATACCCTCCGATTGCACTTGATATCGTAACAGTTTAGTGAACGTAAGAGCGAGTATATATAGTAAAAGGAGACTCACGAATCGCGCTGTGGCCTTTCCAAGGGAAAAATGAATTGTACATGCCTTTCCATGGTAAATATAAACGTGAAACGCACCGTTCACTCGTTGCAGTATTTATCATATTCGATATGGGTCTGGTCGGTAGTAGTTGAGACATGGCTGGCAGGAACTTACATTCACACAAACAGTAACAAATAACAGCTTGATCAGTTATGTCTCGGACTGCATCACGTGAGAGGCTACATTACGAATTTACGAGAACTTACATTTCTTGGTTTCGTCGGTTACCATTGCGCCTGCCTGCAACATATACTCTCATGGGTTGCTACTAATAATACCAGTTATTCTGTACGGATGCGAAATTCCGCAAACCGGGCGCGATGCTTTCCATTTTAAGGGAACCCATCAGCTCTAGTTGCCCAACATTCTCTCAAAAGCGTTCGAGAGCTTTTATTTCAGAAAACCCGAGTTCCCTCGACACATACTGTAGCTCATGACAATCTTTGATGGAGTCACAAAGTTGAAAGGTGTCTCTTCCAGTCAAGAGTAGTGTGCCACGACCCATTGTCACAGGACCACGATTCGGCGTCGGCCGCAGGCAAAGCAACGCTCCGGTGATGCAGGCTCAATCTCGCGGTGGTCCTCATAAAGATGCAGGACAGGTTGTGGAACTCGAGTCTCGTTCGCTAAGCGTCCAAGGTTCAGCCGAAGGCGTTGAGGCGTAAGCGAGCGGGTATGGGCTCGGGAGCCGGCTCCGTCGACAACCGTGCTGCTCTGGCAGCGTCGTCTAGATTCTGCACCTACTTTGGCTCCTCCAAGCCAGTTGTTGCCTGAGCGGAAGCGGTATTCGCTTGTTGATTCAGGGCCGTCGTCTCGATCAGGATCACCACAGCCACTTATTGGGGCGGATAATAGTAATGTTGGTACGAGCGCGAGATCGGGGACACCGCCGAGAAGGTACTCTTCACCGTCTCCTGCTCGGACAAGCCGAACGGAATCTGAAGTCGGTTCGTCAGTACTGTCGACGGCGTTCTCTGTCCGAGCTTTTAGAAGGTGGGTAGCACAGCAGGAAAGTGGGTGATGCTACTGTGGACAATGTGCTCGCCAGTGTGCTTGCAACTTCCATGTATGGCGAGAGAGTTTATCGTTCATGCGTTCCTTTGATACATGCATGTCAGCGATTCAATCGTCATAATTCTACATTATCTTCCAAAAATATAAATAGACAGGGCAACTTACTACAGTTATCTGCACTCATCACAAAGAAACAAGCAAGGGATGTCACATATTCGGAATTGTGTCGGTTTACCTACTTCGTATTAAAATGCATCAAAGGGTCATATCGGAGATCATGGCCGCCCATTCCTGTCTGCCAACCGTGGTTCTACGCCACCTACGACAATACGAACGTTGTCATTAGAGACTTTCCCCCTTCGTTCATGCCCTTGTAATATCTGCGGACTAGACGTGCTGATATTTTCAACAACTGTATGTCCCAGTGAGCCCAAGCCGACGCCCTTGTGGTATTGAGAATGTGAACTCGTATCTCTCGACCAATCCGAGATAGATGGCATGCGGCAACATGGCTGAAGCTCCGGATGGCGATCGAAAATATAGAGGTGTACATCGCTCAATGGGTACCCATCCTTGGGAGGTGGATCGCCTCTTTTAACCCGATCTTCCACGACTCGTATTTCGTGTTTCCTTGAAGATCCAACGTCCTCCCCTTCTTCCATTAGACCTTCATCACCTGTATCCTCTCCACGCTGACCTTCTTGACCTCTCCCATCGGAATGCTTGCGTTTGCGGTCGGGTTTAGATATCGGTCGCCAAGGTTTCTTGGCCGATGCCTCTACTTCGGACCGTTGCCTCTTTGGGTCTTCATCCCACCTTCTCATTTCGGCCTGGATCCAAGACGATTGGAATTCCGCAATTCTACTTAGCATGAAGTAGCTTTCGATAAAATGAGAAAAAAATCGGAGATCATATGGCCTGAGCACGCGGCGCACAACCTGACCGGAATCAGACTCGATATGAAGAAGGATACGATCCACTTACCACTGCATCTTCCTCCCAGTTAGAAACGTAGAGCACAAGTTCATTTTGGTCTAATGTGGCACCAAATACAGGCCCATCTCTTAGGCACAACGCTCTACGGTGTAGCTGACTCGAGTACATGGTAAGCTGCTCCTGGCGTTTCACGACCTTGAATGCCTTTAATTTCCACTCCCAGACAGAGGTAACAAACATCTTTGGATTGCATATTGAATCTGGAGACCACGTCCCGGAGAACACGTGTTTTTCGTGACAGGCCGAAAAAAAGGACTCATCCCATCCCAGTGGCAGGGTGTAAGTCGTTATGGCGTCTGCTCGAGCAGTATTTGGCACGTCGGGTAGGACTAGTTCGATTTCGGAACTAGGAATTGAAGAAGTCAGCAATGCAAAAAAAAGTTCAATGTATAGAAATACCTCCACGCCTGATTCGCTCCAGGTCGAAGTTGAAACGCATGAATAACCAACCCATCGACGGCCCAGCGAATTGAAGCCTCGTTCCCCTTCTTATCCGCCTGGAAGGAGAATGTTCTCCAATAAGTGACAAGAGAGTTCACCGCATCTACAAACCCATATTCGTCACGACCAATAAATCGGGCACTCCAACAATCAATGCCCTTGTGCCATTTTTTGAAACCTTGAATAGCCTCTTCTGCTTTCGGATCTCCTGATAGAAGCTTCTTAATTAGTCGTTCTGTCTAGAGGAATCATCAGACTGCGAGTTCAGTATGACACATAATGTACGACCTACATCCTTGCTTTTGATGCACCTTGGATATTTGAACGAGGCAATGAAATTGTCGAATTCGTCATTCTCCCATATTCCCGGAGAAAATTCTAGTTTATGGCGCATTGCCCAAGCGTCCCATTGTTCACTCGATTCACACAATCTGGTTGCAGTAATCAGACCTCTGAAAAGGCAAACGGGAATAAACTTACTTTGAGGCGGGAAGAGTCGATGCACTGGAATCCATTGGTAAATAAGTAATCTGACAAAGCAGAAAGTATATTGATCGTACCTTGTGCTCATAGCATCTTCATTCTGTGGCCCTTGTGCTTGCTGGTTGTCCCGAGAGGAGCCTGTCGCTCTTGCAAGAGTATCACCAGCCGTATTCATGGGTTCCTCTCTGTGGGTCTATTAGCAACAGGAAACGGAATATAACAAGTATAAGATACACACCCTTCGATTGCACTTGATATCGTAAGGGTTCAGTGAACGTGGGAGCGAGTATGGTAAAAGGAGACTCACGAATCGCGCTGTGGCCTTTCCAAGGGAAAATCAGTTGTACATGCTTTTCCATGGTAAAGGTATATGTGAAACACACCTTTCATTTGCTCTAGGATTTATCATATTTGATATGGGCCTGGTTGATAGTAGTTGAGACATGGTGGCTAGGAACTCACATTCACACAAACAATAACAAATAACAGCTTGATAAGATTATGATTAGGGACTAGCTTGGGCATCACCCATGGTTTTCCCCATCCGTACCACGGATGAAATCAAACCACGGATGGTTTTCCCACGGTTTGTGGTTCATCCGCGGATACTGTGCTACCGTTCAAATCCTGTAGTTACCATTTTTTCTTTTGTTAAATAAATTCCTTACACTACAAAATTACACAAAATTAAGTATATACTATCTAAGATAAACAATTACATGGGTATATAAGTAAAAAATATACATGAATATAATGTTTTTGCTTTTATTTTAATAAATAAAGGTGTAAAATAGAAGAATTATAAAAGATTTACATTTAATCTGTTCCACGCCTCCGTGCTTCAATAATTCCAATAGCATCCTTAATATTAGAGAAAAGGGGAGTTCCATCCCAAGATCCAACTGCCATCTGAGCTCTGAATGTGTCAGAAGAGGTGTTGTGTTGCATGAAATTAATTTGCCTCCTTCCAACAGAGAATGCACGCTCTGCATCAACAGATGTAGCTTTATAATTGAAAGTATTAGAATATCATATTAAATGAATAAAAACTGTTAGAATAAGAACTTACCAGGTGCAGAACAAAAATCTGTACCCATTCTAGCAAGACTAGGCAACTTAGCTTGACAAGAATGCCAATACTGTATTACACCTCCGGATGCATGAACAACAGATTCAGGAATGGGTGGATCTGTAAGGTATATATGAATACTGTCATTTGATTCATTCTCCATGGATGCAGTCCGAGGTAAATAACGGGATTGATGCTTGAAATAATAGTATAAACT